TGAGCACTAGTGACTGGGTTTTACCCCTTTCTCCTGCTCTTCCGGCCTGCTACTCTGTGCTACGCCTGTGCTTACCTTGCTCCCGGAGACCCGGTCCCCCTCGGGAGGGTAACAAGGGAAAGTGTACGGTGCAGATCAGTGAGTAAGCACCAGCCCACCCGTGCTTACCTTGCTCCCGGAGACCCGGTCCCTCTCGGGAGGGTAACAAGGGAGCCGTCTGAGCACTAGTGACTGGGTTTTACCAGCTATACACTTGGACATCACCAAATGAGTACACAGGAATCAAATCGACTACATCTGTGGAAGGAGGATGATGGAAAAGTTCATTATCTTCAACCAAAACAAGGCAAGGAGCTGATTGTGGAACAGACCATCAATTGCTCATGTATGAATTCAAGTTGAACCTGAAGAAAAGTAAAACAAATCCATGAGAGCGAAAATATGACCTTGATTATATCCCACCTGAATTTTGAAACCATCAGGAATAGATTTGATGCATTGAACATCAGCGACCGAAAACCAGAGGAATTGTGGGATGATATCAGGAACATCATCCATGAAGAAAGCAAAAGGTCATTAAAAAGACAGGAAAGGAAGAAAAGACCAAAATGGATGTCCAAAGAGACTCTGAAACTTGCTCTTGAATGGAGGGTAGCTAAAGCAAATGGAAGAAATGAAAAGATAAAAGAGCTGAACAGAAGATTTCAAAGAGCAGCTCAAGAAGACAAAGTCAATTATTATAATGAAATGTACAAAGACCTGGAGTTGGAAAACCAAAGGGAAGAACCTGCTTGGCATTTCTCAAGTTAAAAGAACTAAAGAAAAAATTCAAACCTCAAGTTGCAATATTGAAAGATTCTATGGGCAGAATATTGAATGATGCAGGAAGCATCAAGAGAAGATTGAACTCATACACAGAGTCACTGTATGAAAAAGAATTGGTCAGTGTTCATCTATTTCAGGAGGTGGAATGTGATCAAGAACCAGTGGTATTAAAAGAAGAAGTAGAAGCTGCACTGAAGGAATTGGCCTAAAACAAGGCTCCAGGAATTGACAGAATACCCATTGAGATATTTCAGCAAACAGATGCCATGCTGGAGACACTTGTCTATGCCAAGAAATTTGGAAGACAGCTACCTGGCCAAGTGACTGGAAGAGATCCATATTTGTACCCATTCCAAAGAAAGGTAATCCTACAGAATGTGGAAATTATTGAACAATATCATTAATATCACATGCAAGTAAAATCTTGCTGAAGATAATTCAAAAACAGTTCCAGCACTGTATTGACAAGGAACTTTCCAAATCAGAAGCTGCATTCAGAGGAGGGCATGGAGCAAGGGCTATCTTTGCTGATGTCAGATGGATCTTGGCTGAAAGCAAAGAAGACCAGAAAGATGTTTACTTATGTTTCATTGACTATGCAAAAGCATTCGACTGTGTGGATAACAAATTATCGATAACATTGAGAAGAATGGGAATTCCAGAACACTTATTTGTGCTCATGAGAAACCTGTACAGAGACCAGAAGGCTGTCATCTGAACAGGACAAGGGGATACTGCTGCATGGTTTAAAATCAGGAAGGGAGTGAGTCAGGGTTGTATCCTTTCACCATACTTATTCAATCTGTATGGTAAGCAAATAATCTGAGAAGCTGGACTATATTGAAGAAGAACACAGCATCAGGATGGGAGGAAGACTCATTAACAGCCTGTGATATGCAGATGAGACAGCCTCGCTTGCGGAAAGTAAAGATGACTTGAAATACTTAGTGATGAAGATTAAAGACTACAGTCCGGAGTATAGATTACACCTGAACATAAAGAAAATGAAATCCTCACAGCTGGACCAATAAGCTGCATCACGGTAAGTGGAGAAAAGATTGAAGTTGTCAAAGATTGCATATTACTTGGACCCACAGTCAACACCCGTGGAAGCAGTAGTCAGGACTTAAGATATTGTATTGCATTGGACAAATTGCTGCCAAAGACTTGTTTAAGGTGCTGAAGAACGAAGATGTCACTTTGAAGAATAAGGTGCACTTAACTCAAGCCATGGTATTTTCAGTTGCCTCATATGCATGTGGAAGCTGGGCAATGAATAAAGAAGACTGAAGAAGAGTTAATGCTTTTGAGTTTTGTGGTGTTGGCGAAGAATACTGCAAGTCCCATGGACTGCCAGAGAACGAACAAATCTGTCCCAGAAAAAGCGCAGCCAGAATGCTCCTTGGAAGCGAGAATGACCAGTCTTCGCCTTACCTGCTCTGGTCATTTTGTCGGAAGGAACCATTCCCTGGAGATGGATCTGTTGCTTGGTGAAGTGGAGGGTCGGTGAACAAGGGGAGATGGACTGACATGGTGGCTGCAGTGATGGACTCAGGTGTAGCAGGATTGTGAGGGTGGTGCACAGCCAGTGTTTCGTTCTGTTGCACGTGGGGCCTCTCTGAGTTGGAGCAGACTCGGTGGCACCTAACACCACCAACAACTTGATACCTTATTTTAAAAGAAGATGTGGGGGAATGTGGGTGGATGGAGTCCTTGGGCTACATAGGCGTTGAGCACTTGTTTGCTAACGGGAAGGTTGCCGTTTCAAACCCACTCAGAACCACCTCAGAGGGGAGGCCTGGCAAACTGCTTCTGAAGAGTCACAGCCCTGAACACCCTACAGAGTCCAGTTCATGGAGGCACATGGAGTCGTCGTGAGTCAGAACTGACTTGACAGCGTCTCCTTTGATTTTGTGGAGTAGAATCAGTATCATTCGCTCCCATTAAATTACTTTATCTCTCCTTAACATTTTTCGGTTTTTTACCTAACTTGTTTCTGGGCCATTAGCTACTTGGCAGACCTAATAGGCGCACTCAATCTTTTTTCTTTCCTCATTGCTTCATTTTTAAACCTTGATAAAATGACAGTATCACCAACTGAAATGAGAGGTGACTCCCCCTTTCCCTTCTGTGTGTAGTTTGGGCGCTATCAGTCACACATATCTGGGTAATTGAAGGCTGGAGTGTGTTGTAGAGAAAAGGGTTCCGTTTTCTAGAGAAAGATGGGGGTCTGCCTGCATATGTTACTTCCTAGGTCAGTAAGGTTTAACTTTACTATTACTGTCATTTTTAGTATTTGGAGAGCTACATGATTTAGTGAAACATACCAGTTTAGAGCTTTACAGAGTTAGTCTGAATTCCACTTTGTGACTGTATGTGCTTCACTCTGCATGAAGGAGATGAAGTGTCAGATTTATTAAAAAATGCATTGGTTTGAAAATGTTTACCTCATTTAGGGATAAAGAAGAAATGTGTTTGTTTGCCTTATGGAGCTGCAGTCCTGATACTATTGGAATAGTCCCAAAGACTAAAGAAATCGCAGTTATAGAAAACACCTGTGCTTCTGGGGGAAAATAAAGATAGGCTGTAAGAAACATTCCCCCTCCGTTTTTCACTTGGAGTTTGTCGTCTTACCATCCAAATCAGTTTCAAAATGCCATGTCTTCTTGGGTCTCAGTCATTCATATGGCTTTAGCTGTCCATAGGTTATAATATCCAGATCGGTTTCTTTGGCTGCCTTTTGTCCTGACCTGTAACCTTGTCATTTCAACTGTCTCTAAGGCCTTGCCTGGGGGTCCCACAGGCACCTTAAACTTAGCGTGTCTTAGTTGAGTGCTTGTCTTGCCCTGCCAGCTCTACTCTGCTTTTATACTGTCTGCCTCAGCACCGGTCTCTCCACTGTAGCTTGTCATCTTTGATTTCTCCTTCTGTCTCCCTCCCCAAATCTAAGGGAAACCAGTTGTTATTTTATTCTATCTTAGGAAATGACTTTTTTTTTTTTTTTGGCTACTCTTTGACGCTCATAAGGAGCCCTGATGGTACCATGGTTAAAACATTTGGCTGGTAACCAAAAAGTCAGCGATTACAACCCACCAGGCTGCTGTATGGAGAAAGATGAGGCGTCTGTTTCCTTAAAGATTGACAGCCACAGCCCTAGAAACTCTGTGGGGCACTTCTGCTCTGTCCTGTAGGTCACTGTGAGCTGGAATCCACTCGAGGGCAGTGGGCTTGGTTTTTCTTTTCTGCTCACGTTGCCGCTGCCTTGGTCTTCTACTCTCACCCACCAGGCCATTGAGTCCACAGTCGGCTAGCGTGGCCCTCCTCCAGCACAACCGCAGCAGGGCTTCCGAGGATTTTCCTCGGAAACTTTGCTGCCTGTGACCTCCTGTGGCACCTTGTTCCAGTTCTTTGGTCTGATTCCAGCTCCCTCCTGGCACTTCACCCTCTGCATCTCAGCATGCCATACACGTCTCACATGCCCTGAGCGTGCCCTGCTATCCTGTGACCCTGTGTCATTGTACTTGGTCTTCTTTCTTTCTGACAGCCTCTTTACCCATTGCTCATCAGGCAGGCTCCTTTTCTCTTCCAAAGCCAAGTCCCATCCTCAGCCCTGTGTGAAAGCTCCCTGCTGGCCCCTTGCACTGACGCAGTTACTGAGCACTGCAGGGCCTGGGATGGACCCCTTCCCTTCTCTACGCCTTCACCATCCGTTGTGCCTGCTGCACGCCCTCATAATTTTCAGGCTGTCGTACAGTTATGGCTCTGCTGTTACTCTCACCTATAGACGGTGAGGTGCTTATGAACAAGCACCTTGGCATCTCCCCTGTTGCACTGTCGGGGACTGGCGCGATGCAGGACTCGTTTATGGCTTGCTAACTTCTGCTGTCTCGGGCAGTCTTCTTGTGTGTCGTGGCCATCCTTTGGATTTTGTCTGTTTATTTTCAGGTGGATCTATCTTAATGACCAGAATTTGTGCATTCCTGCCAGTTCCTCATTTGTATATGGAGCTGTGCCCATAGGAGCCAGTATTTATGTTATCGGAGATCTCGATACAGGTGAGAGTGTTACGATGATTTTGTTGGAACTGTTTCCTAGCGATTCAGGGGCGTGTTGTCTCATTTTGCTTATTGTCGCATTTTAGGTACCAATTATGACTACGTGCGAGAATTTAAAAGAAGCACGGGAACCTGGCACCACACGAAACCACTCCTGCCCTCTGACCTTCGTCGCACAGGTTGCGCAGCCTTACGTATTGCAAATTGCAAGCTTTTCCGCCTGCAGCTTCAGCAAGGCTTATTCCGTATTCGTGTTCATTCACCTTGAAGGGGAGGCAGAGCAGAACAGAGATCCTGACCCAAGCGCACAGTAACACAGCTTTATGTCGGGCACAGCGCAGTGGCTGAGACGGACTCTGCTTCGGTATGGGAACTCTCCGGGGATGTGATGCTGCTTACAGGCTTGAGCTTCTGCTCTTACTGGGGAGAACACATAACTGGTGAAAAACTACTTAGGAGGAATCATTTTCTCCACTTAGATGTGTTCGTGGACAGTTGTACACTAGGGGATGTCAAAAGGAAAGGGGAAGTGGGAATTTGTATAATGTAAAATATCGAAGTCACAATATTTAGGTGCATTTTCCCGAAAGGGAACTTATACCCGACTGACTGCTGTGTTCAAGTACATGGCTTTGTTATACAAAAAAATATTCCATATATGCAAATCAACATATCCAGACATACAAAGATTGCTTTTCTACTGCACTTGAAAGGGAATATTACGCATAACCCTGCCCGACAGATTAAGGTGTGTGCCTAAAATGTTAGATTGGACTGTATGCCAGTTAGTCTCCTTTTATTAGTAAGTGTTCTGTCTTGAGGATCTTTTTTAAACAATGTCATGGTGAATTGAAGCTAAGATAACAACATTTTCTTGTATAACATTGTATCTTAGTGTCCTAAAGATTCCATACATTAATGAGACGGGTTGCAGCCCTTGTGTGAACGTCCAGGAAGCTGCTGTGTTGGTTCAGATTGGGATGCGTCCTGCCATGATGTCTGGGGGAGTGCAGTGGAGTTGTGAGGCTCTCATGCAGTGTGGTTCTCCCTTTCAATTGATCAAACTCATTTTTTAAGGATGAGGATATTTAGCAAGTATGAAATTTTATAAAACTAAGACCTGAGTCAGACGAATAATAAAAGTCTGCAGTGACTTTTAAAAAAAAAAGTCCAGACAAAATATATGGGGATCAAAAACTTTTTTAAATAATCTGTCTGAAAGCACACAAAGTCTTGTTTACTGCTGTTTTGGGTTTGGAAACTTGTCTTCGAATGCAAATCTGTGTTAAAAATCTAGTCTTATAGTTGATTTTCCCAAAGCTATTCATAGTTAAGAGTTTTAGACAAATTATGTTTTGAGTAAAGTTTGGCTGGTAGCATAAACTACCTCAACGTAATTTCATTTTGTTCCTGGGAGAGCAAATTATTCTTTTCCTTATTCTCCTCCTTTTCTGCCCTTTAGTCCTACCTTAACCCACTCTACCCACCTCCCACTGGGGAGAAGCAAAAGCCTTTTGTTAGTGGAATTTATCTTTAGTACATATCTGAATATGTATTATTAAGATACTCTGTTTTCCATTCAAATTATACCACCTTGTGAAATCAGGGACTTAGGAAGTACTTGATTACTTCATAATTTGAATTTTATGCAATATCAGATTTCTAATCAACTTAATATATAGTACTTCATTTTTAATTCTTTTCTACAGCTTTTTTTTTCCTCTTAGACTATGGCTCTAAGAAGCAACGTTTTGTCTTAATGATTAATAAATGTATAAATGTATCCTTTGACTGTGATAAAGAACAGGAATTTCTTCTAGAAATTTCCGACATGGGCTCTTTATATGCCATTGCTGTGCATATGAAACCTTGCCTGTGTTTTCACCCCGATAATTAGAAAGCAGGGTGGCCTGTTTGCACTGTTTTTTCCTTATGCCTGTTGGAGGTCCCTTCAATTCTGCAAACGCTGCTGAATGAGGCTGTGGCTGCGGGGTTCCACACAATGCCGTGTGCGGCATGCTAACTCTATTCTTGCCATGGCATCCGTGGGAAGAGAGGTTATGAGGTTTTTGTTGTACAACAGACGCCCTAGACCCGAGTTGCCACACGTTCGTAGAATACAGTCAGATTTGACATTTAGACTTTAGCCGGTTTTCCCTTTTACCCGGCACTGGTCAGCTGTTTCCTGCACTTTCCCAGTGACACTGTGCACGTCCTTTAATCACAGCAAGCTGCTTGGCCCCTGCAAAGAAAAAGAAGGCTTTTTACAGTTAGGTACTCGTTTCATGTGAAGCAAATGGCTCGAAAAGTGAACGGCCCTTGGTGAACTGTTGCGTGCAGACCTCAGCATTCCGAAACTGTAGCGAAGGCACGCTCAGAATACTTACTGCTCTTCTGTTCAGGCCGGGAGGGTCAGCAGCTCTGCCCAGGCTCGGCCAGGCCTTCAGAGGAGCCTGTTCACTGTTGCGGAGTGAATGGGTTCCTGATGCTCCATCCTCGGTGCCTGCTGCGTGATTTGGTTAATTGATTTGATAAAAATCGTTCTTTTTTCAGTTCATTGACACTGTAGCTGCAGAAATTGATACCATTTTTATAAAATAAATTTGCCACATAATATGGGATGCAATAAGCAACAAAAGCTGCTAAGTGCCAAACTTATTTTACTATATAATATATAAATATAAAAATATTGCTTTGAAGTACAGGGATGTAGTTAATTATATTCCACAAAATCACTCTTTTTTTTGTAAATTATAGTTATTTCAGTATTGTGAAATAAATTTTAACTCATTTCCTGTGGGCTTGTGTTTGAACATTCCACTTACACCTTGAAACAGCATGTCTTGCTAGGACTTCCTCCATAAGGCACTTTTACCAGGTGTGTGTTGGAATGGCAGCTGATGATAGGTCTTAATGGTTTACATAGAGATCTCTTTGGGGAAAGTGCAATTGATTTCCATTATCCCACCCATAGAAGGAATGTTGTCTCAGGTTAGAGTAAGTGAATTTTTAAAGGTTCTCACCTAGGCTATAGTCTAAAGTAGGTTTGTTCATTTCTTTGTTTAATACATCCAGAAACAGATTTTTTTTTTCAAAGATTTAAGTGTTTGATTAAGATGAAGTTATTTTTCATTTTTGATAATGCTTATAACCCATGAGAAGCAAGAGTGTGAGAAAGACTGAGAGTGATGAGTAAGTGAATGAGTGTATGTGTGTATGTTCAGTGACTTGGTAGGTCTGTTTGTGTATGTTTACTTTTTGAATTATGGCTCCAAATTACACATTACTACTGTCTCCTGGTGCTTCAGATAAATTCTTGGGCCTGCTAACCTTCAGTTTATACTACTGCATTAAACTCATGTTGAGTGTAAATACAGAAATATTTGTAGCTATAGTAGGTTTAACTTGGTGTTTGCATTTCTCATCTATAATAGTGTTATAAGAAAAGTTGTGTTAGCCATCTAATAGTATGTTACAAAGATTTGGCCTGAAAAATTTCCAAATTCACTATTTCACTTACTATTACGTTGCTGTGAGGAGTGGCTAGCTAACAGTAGGCTTTGTTCAAACTGTACAGCAACCGAGAAAGAACATTTGGGGTCTGTCGGACAGTGTATGGTTTGTTTTGAATGTTCTGTTGTAGTGCACTGCCACTTTAATGCCAGTCCTTCCTTCGTGGTTGATTTGGAAGTGCCCTTTCTGTCATTTGTCAGGTAAAGGGGATTCTCCGGGCAGTGTACAGGTAATCAGTTCTGGATACTGACATGGTAAGCGTAGGACTCTGCTGTGGCCCCTAAGGGACCTGGGTGGGAAATGAGGTCGTTAGAGAGATACAGTAACTGCCTTAGTCTGTTGGGCTCCATTCGGTGCATTCCTACTTCAGTGGAATTCCTACTACCAAACCAGTGGTCCCAGCAGGTTGTCCAAGGAGTGCTAAAAACACTGCAGTATCGCCTTCTAGAATGTTGGCTTCTTTACTGAAAGAAGATGCCTCCTGAGGTCACGTGGTGACATCTGATTAGCTGGCCAGAGCATGAAGGGACATTTTCATTGTATCCATGTCCTGGTGGGAGGGAAAGGTGAGGGTGCTCTCATGGGTAGCTGCCCTTTGAGCTGTGGGGAGCAGTGGGAAGCAGTGTGAGAAGGGACTATTCAGTGCAGCAAAGCCTGCCCTGGGCTTCCTGCCCCAGCGTTGCCTGTGCGCCCACTTGTGGGCCTTCTGGGGATACTTAACCATGAGGAGGGTGGAGAAATACTGCCTTCCATCCCTAGACTGTAAACTCTGCGTGCAAGGACTCTGTCTTCATTATCAGCTAATCTCAATGCTTGGCACGTAGTAGGTAGTCAATAAGTGTTTGATGAATTAATATGTTTGTGAGCTAAGTGATACTCTTCAGTAGACAGAAGTACTCTCCAGCAGTGACTCATTTTCCTGGGTTTGAAAGGAGGATTTTGTACACAGATGGGCTGGCCTCATAATGTAGAGTGGGGAAATCATATAGAATACAAAGTAGGGAGTGCCTGCTGCATATGGCCCCTGGCCCGTGGCCTCTGTCTGTTCTGTAGGTCTTTGAGAGCCTGCACTCAGCACACTAAGACTGCTTACCACTTTAATGTTACGTTTTATTTTCTGCTTTTTATATGGGCCTCCAAATCTCTTCCCACTTTATTGTTATGACCCTCCATCTCGTGGTAAGTGGGGAGCTGTCTTTGGAGGCCAGGTCAGTGACTGGCTTTCTCACTTTGGATGCGAGTAGAAATCAAAAGCCAACTCCTGGTCTGTGGGTCATCGGCACTGCTAAGCCTTTTACACTGTAACTTAATTTTCCGGGCAGACACACGTTTTCTTTTTAATCATAAAATAATCATTTGTGGTATGATGTAAGTAAGTTGTGCAAATACAAACGGAAAGAGCTGTGGCTTTCCTTGTCGGTCAGCTCTTAGGGACTTCAGAACTGACTGGAGTCACCAGGAGGACAGCAGTCAGAGTGGGAGGGGTCTCGGTTCTGAAGAGCAGACGCTTCCTCTGCTCCTCTCTCTTACCTCGTGGCAGCGGGAGGGAGGGGGCGGCGGCCTTTTGCTGGCTCTCCGACGAGCCCCCGGTGTTCTTTATAGCGCTCTCTGCGGAGATTGCAGGAACTTGTGGGAGGGAATAGCCGATTGCATGGAAGAAGAGCCCGAGCTTGGGTTGTGTGTCTGGCACGCCTGCTGGCGGTGACATCTCAGTAATATCAAGCTATTTATTTTTTCCGTATTTTTGGCAAGCCA